TGAAAGACCCAAGACACCCCTTATATGGGCAAATTCTCCCAAACCAAAGACTAAAATCTAGAAGGAATTTTCTTGCCAGAACCTCACCACTCCAGGGGAACCAGAAAGATGAACGAATGAAAATATATTTAGCGTTATGTAGCTGTTTCGTGTGTAAGGACAGACAGACGGGAATGCGGACGCGAATAAAACGGCTGAAGAGAACTGGAAATGCCCTTTCTCACTACGGTAACGATCCCTTCTGCATTTAAAGCCAAGTTCAAGTTGGCGATCCGGGATAACACGGCTTTCAGGGGTTAAAGCACCGTGCATGGGCACACAGTCAGACCCCTGTTCAGGCTCAGGACGTATTAAACAGGGTTTTCAGCGAATGAGGATAGAAACGTTTAGCTCTTGCTTGTTTTGAAAGTCTAGAAGTTTGCGTAAGTTTTGATAAAATCCATTTCTTATAATCAAAGGTGGATACATCCAGAAATAAATTTTAAATAAAGCGACGTGTTCTGTACCTTGGTTTTCTAACATATTTTTCCCCGTTGTCTTAGTAACAAAGTGGCGCTGCTGTTCGGGTGGGCATGTCAGGCTGTCTTCGATGTATTAGCGGGCTGATTCATTTTTCGAATTATAAACAATGTGAGCATAACATGTTGTAGCTTCAGTGTATTATAAACCTCAAGTTTATGTCAAATAGTCACTTATGTTCCACTCTTTAAATTAAATGGAAATGTATTTCAACTAAATCTAGTTTCGTGTGTGTCTGTGGGAAAATCGAGGAGCAGAAATGTTTATTAAGCTTGGGGTTTAGAATTAATGAAAGACGATTAAGAAGTTTCCAGGCAATGTGTTGGCCCCCTCCCCATCTTATTGTTGAAAGGAACTTCGTGGACACTGAGTTAGATATTCCTCAGGTAGTGTATGTTGTTTTATTTCTCCCTATGAAACAGTTGCTTCGAATCCCAGCGTTACGAAATCATCAACTTTGGGTTAAACGTATCCACTTATTTTAAAGGTCGGCAGTTCTTTTTAATAACAGGTAAATATTAACAGCAGTTCTGACCTGAGGTTCACTAAAATGTCTGCATAATCACGACAATAAAAATCAACTGCAACACTTTTAATGGCATTATATATGTGTTTTCCAGCAGTTCGTCCGCTGCACTAACCATTCTTATTTCTGTATCAGAAACTGAGGATACAACAACAGCTTTATAAAGTCCAGCTGTTAAAATTGTTTTGAAAGGAGGAAGGCTTTTGATTATTTTAACATTATGTCCGCAATGGCCTTAGTTTTGAAAAATATAGTCTAGGGACTTTTATGTAAGTATTGTTACGTAAACCTAATGGGAATCTTCTGCTACAAATCTCCTGTGGGAGGTTCAGTTTAGATAACAGTTCTTGTCATCTTATTGTTGCGATGGAGTGAGGTTGCCTTTCTGTGGAAGTTCGATCGGTAACGGTCCTGTATTGTCCATCCATCAGATAATGATATACGTGTGAATATGGTAGAATAATAATGACAGGAGAAAACCGAAAGATTCGGAGAAAAACTTAACTCACTGCTGCTTTGTCCTCCATATGTGACTGCTCCGGGATCGAGCCCGGGCCTCCACAGTGAGAAGCCTGCGACTAACCGCCTGTGTTAAGACACGGCCTTATAGATAACTTACATCAACGAGAATCGTATGTTGAGGTTGTAAGCGTCGATAAGTATTTTGGTGATGTTATTTTCAGTATTAATTGCACATAAAATGTGTGCCTCCCGTCGGACTCAGTGAGCTATAAAGCGGTTTCTTTCCACTCCCTGTTTCCTGATCGTGCCAGAAATTAATTCGTCATCTGTCCATGACCCGCCAGTTTCGTTCTCTTTGACACGATAATCATAATATTTGGTGTAAAATATATGAAGCACCTCGTAACATTCTTCTCAGCACGTTGCGTTCTAATGCTGTAAACCTCTGTTCTTTTCTTAATATGAGGGACCCAGTTTAATAATCAGGTAAAATTATATTGGTGTGTATTTTAATACTTACGTTAAAAGGTGGGAAACTGGAGACAAAAACGTCTGGAGGAGATGGTAGCAAGAATTCCTCGAAAATATTGTTCTTAAGTTCCTAGTGAATGCAGTTTGACCTTTAATACCATTTGAAAATATCTAAAATTCCAAACGATTTATTTGCTCTGATAAGTATAGTATGACTTTGTGCCGCAGAATTGCGATGAGACATCGGTATTTTACCCTGGGTTCTCTTTTGTACCTGGCATGAGGAACTCCCGGCTTGTGCTCGCTTTTAATCCGCCGAGATTAAATGTTTGCAATTTTTAACACATTTTTAATTCATGACTGTAATAAATTTGGTGGAGGTGTATTACGTTTTTAACACAAGCAGGTTAATATTTATTCCTATATAATTGTTTTTACGGTCCATGGTTGGGCCTAGTGAGGACAGAGCGCAGCACATTACCAACAACATGGTTGTGACCGAGAAAGTGCACTACTGCTTTGCCGGCATATTTCACAGAACCGTAGGAATGTAAACATTAGCATTGTTTGTTGTGTAGGAATAGTCGCGAAATTTAGAGATCCTTCTGCTTCGCTATACAACGGACCAGACGCGGGACGAGGATGAAACTGTTTTCGTGAGGAAGTCTCGCTTAAATTTTTAAAGGGCAATGCATGTTGCTGTTGTAACAGTGTCTCTGCACATCTGTGCTCTGCGAACGTATACGTTTTGTGTTCTTGTCTTTTCTGTTGACTGATGATTTCTTTGTGTCCAGTGGTAGGGGATTTTTTTGCAGAGTATTTCATTCAGTAAGGTTGTCAGTTACATTCGTTGTTAAAAGTGTATGAATTTCGCATTGCTAGAATAAGTTTTATAAATGAATATTATTTGAAATGTCTTTATCTAACACGAGAAATCTGATACAGAATGCAGTGCGTTTCAGAAAAGTGAAATAATGACGTTTTTGTCATTTTAAAAGATAATCCTGTGTGTTTGACTTTCAAGAAGTCTGCATGATTATGAGGGGGGTCCTCAGTGGCTGCGCGGTCTGAGGCGTGGGCCTTCTGCCGCTTGGTCGCTGGGACCGTGGGTTCGAATCCCACTCAAGCCATGGATGTTTGTCATCGTTTTTCTGTGTTGTGCTGTCCTGTGTACAGGTAGAGGCGTTGCGACGGGCCGATCCCTCGTCCAAGGAGTCCTACCGAATGTCTATAGATCAAGCCAACGAAAAGTTGGGACCCGCAGTGCTCAGGCACTTGAAGAACGGGTCGTTCCCAATATCCCAGTATGATTATGAAATAATACTCGATGACCCGTCGCCCCTGATGCTGGAGGTAATAAACACTTCTGAAACTTCAGCAAGATTTTGCCAGACTGTGCGACGTAACACCACAGAAGGCATTGATTTTCATACATTGTGTTTATTTACTAGCAAATTTAATTAGATATTCCAAGTATTTAAATGCCAAGAAATAGGCCCCTTGGAATACCGTGGAATACCGAATGTGAAAGTGTGACAGAGAGAGGAGCAGCTCTATTTGAACGTTACAACACAGTTCACTCGAGTCCTCTGCACTGGACTACTACAAATCGCTCCTCAGAAATAAATTCCCACAGTTGGGGGGAATTTGCTAAGAATAAAGTTTGTTTAGTGGTACCTGCTGCTGTAAAAATTTATCTTCTACAGTGAAAAAACTAAGTCGAAAAAGAGATCTCGATTGATTTACATACGCAAAATAATGTAAGACTGACAGCACCTATCATCGCATCTAAAAGCACAAACAAGCCCAGAAATCTTATTGGTTACATATTCTTCAGTCTCAAAGCATTTTGCATCTATACTTTTCTTCTTGTGTCTGATTTCATGATCATTAACTAAAATATTTAATAATTCTGTTTCTGTTTTTTTAAAAAGTATTTGTAAATTTTACTCGTAATATTTAAAATAAATATGTAATTTGTTTTCTGGCAACCGTGTCATAGCTTGCTTACAAACAGCGCATATTCTAATTAATCATTATAGAAGCATCGATTTCGGACTTATTTTTTGAAAAATACTTGATATTTAATATGACCTGCGGCCATGACGAAAAAAGTGATTCGGTGCGAGGCTGCTTAATGGTTAAAGATGCCTGGTCTAGACCCACTCATTTTCTAGAGTGTAACAGACCTAATGTGTTTTTCCTCATGGCAAATGTGTTTTCGCTCAGTAAATTAACGTCATCAACGTTGACAAGACGTTGATGTTTCCAACTTCATGAGTATTAAAGCTCTTGGTTTTCCTGTATCTTCCTGTTCGCTTTTGAAACCGCTTCAAATTCATTCGCATATGTTTGTAATTATTAAATCAAAATAATGTAGTCAAACGTACATTTATTTGCCTCTGGAGCGAGAAATTCGATCGCTGATCTTCGTTTACCGGCCATCTTGTTTTCCTTTGTAATATTAAGAAAATTAACCTTTCTCGTCTTAGTTCTCTAAAACGATGACTGTCACTATAATGTTATCGAACACTTCTTAAGTTGAGGAAGATACATGTAAATTATCGAAAATCATAAATTAATGAGTAAGTGATATACTGTTAACCATAAGATGAAAGTAAGCTGAAGAGGACAGAAAGTTTTTAAAAGTACCTTTCGAATTCTAAAGTTTTAAATTAAAGCACCTCTAACCTGATTCGGAACTAATAAATCGGAACTTGATAAGACAAGATTTTCCCGTCTCTGTTTCGCACGGTTTGTTACTTTTCGTCACCCACAGGCACAGAGCTTAACAATAAACTAATTTTACGCATTCAGCACGTGTTTTAAGATGCTCACCCGAATCAACGTGAAGGGAGAAATTTCGCCTTTGGGATGGGCCGATATGTTTGAACTATCTTGTGTAAACAAATGATTTTTTGAGAGTACGTATGTGTTTGAAGTTCGCGCATGCCCAGTTCACTGCGTTGCCGTCTCCTGCTTTGCTCTGCTCTATCGTAAGAGGCATTAGACCACGTGGGGACTTGAAACTGAGAGGTGTACGCGAAGCGACTATCACCCGACACCCGTAACTCACGGTTGTTCCAAGTCTTCAATCAAACTTTCTCCGTAATATTTTAAGAAAGTGTAATTATTTTAAAACGTGACATGCACCGAGGCCCGTTTTAGTTACGTAATCTATAAAATACAAACATTTTAGTCCTTTAGTATTTAATCTTATTTCTTTTAAATATCACTGTATTTAAATGACGTTTTGTTATCCCTGTTTCAAACACATTCCTATAATAATTGTAAAGAAAGTGGTGAAATAACATTGGCATTTTATCTGTCGTGAATGGTACTTCAAATTGTGATTTGCAGGTTTTACACATATTGTAATCCAAAGTATGATGTGATACGCAGTGATTAAACACACGTTAAAAGGGCATATTAAGCAGTTATCTGAAAGGCAGCCAAGCAATGGAGAAACCATCGTCGTCAACAGCTTCTCCAACGTCATCGGAAAAGGAGTTTGGAGGAGGTGCCATAAGGCGACCCACTGACCCTTCAACTGGCACTAGTGCCACTGATACTGTAACTGTTCCCAGCCGCCAAGCCGTTGCTGGGAAACTCTTCAAAAAATGCAAGAGTGCTACATTCCAAATCGATGGGGCAACATACACTATTGGTGAGTTTTATACAAAGTGCTCAAAGGACACAGAAATTTTCATTAATAGTCTTGACGTAGCAAAGTGCAACAACTGTCATTCTGTGTTGAAGTTGGATTACATCGACGGATTTCCCGTGGGGAATTGCCTCGTATATAGAGTCTTGAGCACTTGAAACTTACTCAGCTATTCAACGAGTTTTCTTTTCACCCTGAAAGTGGTTTCTTTATTACGTCGTGATACTAAGTTGATACAAGTTTGTTGCTTGATGGCTTGTGCGTTCGGTTCCTACCGCTTAAGTTAATTGTCATCACCATGTAACTATCAAGGATTTTGGGCTTTGTGACCCGTTCCGGCCTGAGTCGTGCAGGAATCTTTTCAAAGGGCGCCCTTTGTTTCTCCATCCTATTGGTTTGGGTTTCAAAATTAGATATGGTAATCTGTTCTTGTCCATTCTTCGTACGTGTTGGATTCAATTTCTTCTCTCTCTATCTGTGAATATTTTTTTCTAATATTGGTTTTGTTTGCAGTTCTTTGTGGATATCTTCATTTCGTTTATCATGTCTCTATGTATATTTGGTTGTATTTCTTAAAACTTATCTCTGATGCTGTGATTCTTCATTTGTCACTTAGTTTTATTGTCCAGGTTTCACATTCATAGAGAAGTGTAGGTATGGTCAAAATGTTATATATTTTTAATCTAGTTTGAGTTGGGGTTTTAAAGTATTTAAAGATTTTATTAATGGTGCCTGTAACTTGTAAATATTCTGATAGTTTTATTGTGAGATCCTAAGGCTTGCAAGCATTAGTCGAGTTTTCCTGAAATTAATTGATGTCGAAAATAAGACGATAGAAATATCTGTGAGCGTAATGGCAACCGATTAGCTGATTACGTACGTATAACATACAAAACCACGCTAATATCTGCATTAAATGTGGGTCTACCTCGGACACTGCCCAAAATAATTGAATCGGCTATTTCAGAAACAAGAAAAGCCATAAATATCTTATTTTTCAAAAGGCAAAATAAAATATTTTTGTGTGGTTTATCTTTTCGATCAGAACTTCTGAATTGCATTATATAGAGTAGTCCTGCTTCCCTACCTTCAGAAAGTGTAGAGGTACATAAATTTCTGCACACATTATACTGTCAGCTGTATAGAATGCGTTTCAGTCAATAACTCGATTTTGATTTAAAAAACGTAGTATATGTTGCTTCTGCAATCTTTGATTCATTTACAGTATTTAAATATTCTGTTATGCAACATCAATTGCAATCACTAAAACAACAAACTACCGCCATTTATTCTCATCCATAGCTTATTTAATCCAGTTTACATATTTTTAAAAACATTCTCAAAATTGATGCTAATTAATCTTCATGTCTTTGCCGCCTCCTTCCAAGTGTAATTTTTCAAAATGCTCCCAGCAAATTTAATTTTACATTAGTTTTTGCTGCGAATGCTGTATGTTACACAAATCTTAACTTAGTTGCGTTACTAATTTTAATTGTTAGTAAAATATTGCGGCCACAACTTACTTTACCAGACTTTAATTAATTTATTATATTTTATATCACACCTATGGAAGTTAATAATAAATGTCTACTTTTTTAGTAATATATTTTCTATTTTACGTAAAAGATCTTATTCATATAGCCTATAAAAATTTAAAAAAAGTATTTTAGTAATATTAAAGCACTAGATTTTTTGATGCAGCATGAGGCATAATAGCGACAGTTCAAATGAACACATTGTCTTAAAGAGTGTTGTGGATTTTAAATCCGTTTATTTTTCATTCAGAAAGTTTTAGTGTTGCGTTGTTAACGTTTTCTTTCTTTTATACTAGTTAAAGTAATATTAATTATCCCTCTTCGGCTTAGAAGCATGAGTCATATTCAGAAAACAGTTTATTCCTGAAAACGTACAGGTCGGTCTTTGTTTTCTGTACATGAGACTTTGCGGTTTTAAGGTCAATGTTTGCTGCTTAAGACTGTAAAAAAAGTTTTAGTTGTTTTCTCCGTCACACGTATGAAGGCAAGTTTAATGTATTCTCCATCCACTTCTTCTGTAAGTACATATTATATTGCACAAATTGTAAGCATGCTTCTCTGATATTTTTATTTTATTGGGAAAAATTCGTTAGAAGGACTCGTTTTATTTTCTGATTTTTCTCTTTATCAGACGCACCTTTCTTTTAGATGCAGCATGTAAAAATTATAAGATACCTTGTCACATTTCTGTAATTTTTAATTATATTTTTTCCTCAGTTACTTGTACAGCCTGAAATGCGTCTTAACGTATAGAGGCAGGTGTTTCTGAGGCCCGTATTTACGATTCGTAGGAGTTACCTACCATTCTGAAGATTTGGGTTGAATAGGCGTGAATGGATTCAGTGTAGTGCCATTCAACTCAATTCAGCATAATTAAAAATCAGTGACATTCTGTACAACTTTGTATGAAAACGTATAGTATCTTCAGATTTAGCAAGTCCATTTTGAGAGTGTTCTGTGAATTATATTTCAAGTTACACATATTATATGATGTGTTTGTTGCACACGAACAACCATTATGCAGTTTTTACCAGATCGAGACTTCCATAATTCTAAAACTGTTACCTGCATCTACAAGGTTATATTAACAAGTTGTAGGTTTATAAAGGTACTTTTAGGACGTATTTGGTTTATTACTATTGGTAGCCAAAGTGATAACGTGTTTTAGGTCAAATCGTACCACAAAAGTCCTGTTTTTTTAAGCTAGCACATAATTGAGACATCTGTTGTTACGTATCTCAGGACTGTTAAAAGATGCAAGTACGAAACTCTTTGTACACATTGATACCTAAAGGAAGTCTCCCAGCAGTATTAATACTAAGTTGTAACTTCAGGCATTTTTCACATAACTGATGTGGAATACGATTTTAAATACGAGGTGCGATTGGAAAGTTTCAAGACTGCGCGTATAAAAACCCGTACACTTATCTCAGGTATTAAATTCATCCATCACCCTCGAAGTAGTTCCCCTGGGAGTGAACACAACGATCCCA